GTGGGGGGGGGGGGGGGATGGGGGTGACGGTGGAGTCATCTAGGGAAGAAATAAGTTACACATTCCTGTCCCCGTCGTTTTATGCCAAAAAATTCTGAAATTCGGCAAACTGAGGCCAAAAATGTGAAATTTTGCAATTCTGTTTTTGTTTTTTTTAAAACAAAGAATGATAAACGAAAATGATGAAAAATTATGCGAAAAAAATATCAAATTTGGCTAAATTATGCGGGGTGCATTAAACCACGGTGACAGATATTCGAATGGCTCTGCCGCGGTTCAAATAGTAAGGTGGAACTTCGATGTGAAGCGTATGGACCACGAGAATACACCCAACTCAAGGGTGGCGTCGGTTAGTGCTGGGCGGCTAGGTTCCCGATTGTGGAAAGCTAGGAATCGTAGGAATCGACTCCAAACCCAGTTAATTACTTTCTAATGATGTGATTTCTTCCATTGGTTACTTAATTGGCTCCAAACATCTCCAGGATTTAGGATAACCTTTATTTCGGAACACTACAAAGTATCAATTTTTATTTTTCAAACGTAAATTCTTTAAAAAAGAAGAAGATCCTTCGGTATTCATAAAAAGGAGGCCATACTTTTCTTCCGTAGCATTAATCGTGGTAAGCAGTTCCGGAATCGATTCGTCGCCCAGCTCTAGCGTCGGTGGCCCAGTGGTTAGGCTACCGGACTCGTAATCGTGAGGTTGCGGGTTCGGGGGTTCGAGCCGCGGGCCCGACGTTGTGTCCTTGGGAAAGACACTTTACACGAATTTTCCTCACTTCACCTAGGTGGGAATGGGTACCTGGCCATAGACAGCGAAAGATTTTGTCAGTATGTTAGTGTTTTAGCGCCTATAAATGGCTGCTTGCACTGCGTGCTTCCCAGGAAGTTGAGGTTGTTTCAGAATGCTCTCAGGTCTGCTGGGGAAATAGTACATGTATAGATTGTGAAGCGCATAGAGTTTGCTGTTGAGCGGGGATTTGCGCTATACAAATGCTATCTATTATCTATTATTAAGGGAAAAACGCCAGTATCATTAACTATGATCGAGAACCTGCAGCACATTCCACCCTCCCGTTCATTTGACTTAAATTGAATCAAACGATGCGTAGCACAGTGAACCAAAAATAAATTAGATAACGGCTAAAACAGCACCTGAACATGGATGGCTGGTGCCTCTATAAATAAATCATTGATGTTCAATTAGATTACAGGACCTAAGATATCATAATTAATATGATCCAACCCCCACCACCTGAGGGCACGACAAAAAAACACCAACAGTGACCAAAGAGTTGTACATGTACTGACGTTAAATGCATAATACTAATAGTGCATCACCCCCCCCCCCCCCCCGCCTTTTTAAAAATAAAAATTATGCAGACGTGACAGTTATCTCAAAACAACAACAACAACAACAACAACAAAAGCAACAACAACAACAGCAACAACAACAACAACAAAAAGGCACGTACGTTTCACGTTGGTCCGCCTGTACGAATCAACAAAGTAAGAAGGCTATCTATAGATTCCAAGTTTTCAGCAATTATTGTTGCTGAACTAGAATTCGGATTTTATATTCAGTTAGTTGCGCTCTCCCTTCTACACGCCTTAATATTTCTGTCCCCGCGGTTTTGTGCACAAAAAAAATAAATCTGAAATTATGCAAACTGAGCCCCAAATATGTGAAATTGTGCGATTCTGTTAATTTTAACAAATAAATGATGATAAAGGAAAATAATCAGAAATGATGCCCCCCCCCCCTTTTCTCCCCGAAAAAAAAACAAAAAACTTTTGCTAAATTATGCGGGGTGCATAAATCCCCGAGGACAGTTATTTTTTCATCTTCATGTTGGAGGAGCTTCTGCATGAGTAAGAACAATGAAGGACAGCGGACAAAGCCAAGACTGTCCCTGGGGTTTTATGCACCCCGCATAATTTAGCAAAATTGATGACTTTTTCGCATAATCTCTGATTATTTCCCTTTATCACTCTTTGTTAAAATTAACAGAAGCGCATAATAATTTCATATTTTGAGCTCAGTTTGGATTATTTCAGATTTTTTTTTTCATAAAACAGCGGGGACAGCCAAGACACGGAATAACATCACACGCGACTAGCCCAGGATAGGGAAAGATGGAAAATGTTTATTCGTATATATATCCTGATCCAGGATGAGATTGAGAAAGGCAATGATGACGACGATGATGCGTTCTCCCTTCACTCTATGACGTCATCAGCTTTCAGAAGAGGCGGCTGGTCATCATCAGACGTGACGACAAGTTTTCCCGCCTTCTCGCCGTCGTAGAGCGCCGCAAGGGCTTCTGGGAGTTGGCGGAAGCCGCTGTACTCGGTGTGCTGGTACCTCAGCTTGCCCTGACACGGTAACGTCACACACAGTCAACAGTGCAACAGTTCGTGAACATTCAACAATTTAAGGCCGAAAACACTCACATAGACACACAGATACACACCCACACAAATACACAGACACACAAACACTCACACACAGACACACACACACATACACACATATAGACACACACATACACACATATGCACACACACATACACACACATACACACTCACACGCACAGACATACACACAGACACACTCAAAGACAGACAGACACACACACACACACACACACACACACACACACACACACCTGGTGTACCCACTCCAGAAGTCTAGCCTCAGCCTCGCAGAACCTGTGAGCGAAGTCAAAGACAGTATGTGTAGACACACACACACACACACACACACACACACACACACACACACACACACACACACACACACACACACACACACCTGGTGTACCCAGTCCAGAAGTCTAGCCTCAGCCTCTGCGAACCTGTGAGCGAAGTCAAAGACAGTATGTGTAGACACCCGTCTCTTGATCAGCGACACCAGACGGTACGGGTCTGGCTTGTACTCTGTGGGCAAAGTCCAACAACCAGAGATTGCAACAGGGCGGTAGTTATAATGTCACATTTAGAATTTGCTCCCTTTTAAGGG